TGAAAGTGAAAATTTTGCGCAAAAAACGCGTTTCTTGCGTTTTTTTAATGAGCGTTACTGACTCACAATCGCGGTTCCCTTTTGACCGTTTAAACGCGTTTTTCCAAATGTTTGTCTGCTTGGGCGAAAGAGCATGATCTGAAATCCTTAAGTACCAGGTGATATTACAATTGGAGGTTCCCGTACTGAGTTCGGTTTTCCACCTAACACGCCTATTGAATATTATAGAAAAAAAATATTTTTCTATAATCGGAGGATACTAAACATACTTTGTAAATGTGCCCCTATTACATGAGTATTCTAGAACATCCGAAAGGATAGCAGTTTGCACAAAAACGCTTTTCTGTGGCTATTGACCTTGTCATCAGAAATTGGTCAGATATGGCTCATTATCAGTCCAGTTCAACTTTCGAATACGAAACATAGTGCAAGAACTCGCTCGGATTGTCTTACACTTTCGATAACTCGATTTAACACACACCTTTTTTTCCAAGAACCTAAATCAGTGATTAGTTTTGTAGCAAAATGTTCATGACATTCTACTATTTTCCTTGATGCAATAAATGAATTAGAGAGTACAACTTCGAGCACAATTATTAAGGTCAATTTTAACGTTATTTGACTTATAAACCGTAAACAGCATCGTAAAATCTTTCAAATGAAATTTTTTCCTAACTTTTATTTTAAAAATTTATTAATTTAGCAACATTATGAAAATTCTATCAAAAAAAGAAAAATATGAGCAACACGTATGGAAACTGAATGTGTTTTTTATGCATTTATCTCTTTATTTATTTTCAACCATCAAATTCTTTTGTCCAAAATTTTCTGTAATGTAATTTCGCACCAGCATCATCAATTTGTTTGATTTCGTCATCGGTTAGCTTCCAATCAGCATCACCAGCTTGTAGATAAGATTTAAGACGATCACCTTTACTAGACGTTGTTACTATTACATGGCCTGTAAAGAAAACGATTTAGTTAAGAATTGAAATGAATACATTTTATTCAGAAAATTCTACCTTTTTGCATATTCCATTTTAACAATATGTGTATATGACTTTTACCATATTTAACAGCCAATGCCTCAACTATCGCATCAATTGGTCCATCTTTCTTATGAACAATGGAAGCGAGTGGTGAGTAACTCTCAATTAAAATATTGTTTTGTCTGCAATAAGCCAACAGTTCTTTACTGGCTGCATTCACATACGGATGATATTCAATTTGATTAACACACGGTTTTATTTTCGGTGTTAAAGCAAATAATTCTTTTAAATCATCAACACGAAAATTTGATACACCAATATTTCTGACTTTCTTCTCCTATATAAATGCAACATAATATCAGAATATGAACTAACTAGGATACTGTATGTAAGTATGAAAAGCAGTCAACCGTTGTATCTATTAACTTCTGCTGTTTTTTTCCTTGAATTTTCTAGAACACTTCTTTTTTTTTAGGGAGTTGAACTACCTTTTATAACAGAACAAGTATAATTTTCAGGGTATGAACGATTTTTAAAGTATTTTCAAATTTAAATTCTATATGATTACAATATTCGTAAACCGTGCATACATCAACAAATTTTTCCATTTTATTCCATGCTTCTTTTAATGTTATGCCAGCCTGTCCATTTTTCATACTGAATGGTGCATGAATCAAATATAAATCAACATAGTCCAACTGTAAACGTTCCAATGAATCGTGTAACGCACGTTCAATGTCGTTTAAGGTCCTATAAACTTTTGTTGTAACAAATATCGAAGAACGATCTTTACCAGTTTCGTTCAGATATTGTTTAATTGCAACGCCGACACTATATATTAAATAGAGAAAGCAGTTTTAAGAAAATCACATAAAGAAATATGAGTAGAGATTATATAAACGTTCTTACTCACTCTTTTTCAGTTCCATACATCTCAGCGCAATCGAGATGGGTATAGCCCAAATTCATTGCTTCAAGTATACTATCAACGAGTTTTTGATCAAAAGGCGTATCATTGCTACCACGATACCATGCCGTACCAGTTCCATATGCAATTTGTGGAATTTTACCGTTTGGTAATGAAAGTGTTGGGAATGATGATGAAGATGCCATTTGTCTGTAGTAATATCTAGACAGAAAAGTTCGTTGTGCCAGTAGCCTTATGAAAAACAACATGTTTGTCATTTCTGTAAACACGAAGAGACAGGAAACTAGATGTCAACTATCTTACGGGCAGGTTGGAAACCCGACGGAGTGAAACGTATCTTAGAAACACTTTAGATACCGTTTAAATCCCATAAATACGATTAGATCACTGCAGTGCTCTAGTAGTATACATATGATGCATTCTAGCGGTAATAATGTTTCAGACTATAAATGCATCAAACTATACAGAAGTATTGACTAATGATAAGTAGCATGTCCCAGTCCAAAATTTTTTAAGAAAAGATATAGTGGGATATATCCCAGATGAAAAAAAGTAAGGTGTAAAAACCGTTCGCACTTATTTTCGGATATATCCAACTGTATTGTCATCTTGGATATATCATGATATACCTATCAGTCGATGATTCATTAAGGCTATATCCAACTGTTTTCATAAATGAGGATACAGTTGGATACATCAGAAATTGATATGTCCGGCGCACGTTATTCTAAAAGACAATCAAAATCAGTGAGGGTGACATTCTTGCGGACTGAAAATTACCGCGACAAACATATTGATGCGCTTCACAAAGTTATCGAATAAACAGGCGATGACTGTTATTTTGATGAAAACTCTAGAAGCCAGGCATTTATATCCATAAACGGATTTACCAGAAGAAACGAGTCACTTGGTATTTCGCCAATATCTGTCAATATTCATTCCCACGACTCGAATTTCTTTTTAAAACATTCTCCGCTCAATTCTTTACAAAAACCATATTGAACATTTCTATACATGATATAAATAAAGCAATATAGATGGAATATAGAAACACCGCGAAGCTCAAGTCGCCATTACTTTGTAGCCTAAAAAACAGTTTTTTAATTTTAGTCCTTTATAACTTGCGATATAAGACCATGTATGAAAAATGTTAAATATAGTTTTTGTAGAGCACTGAACGCGGAATCTTTTAAAAAGAAGTTCGAGTCGTGGAAATGAAAATTGACAGCGGTATTGGTAAAATACTAAGTGACCCCATTTCTTCAGATACACCAGTTGTAGGCCATATAGAGGCTTTGTATTGAGTAAAAGCAGGTGTACTATCGATAGAAGAATTCGATTCAGTTACGTTGACGGAAAGCAATTGAAGTGTGAGAATCACACAACACTTCAAGGAACTGTAAGATCTTTATCTAAAACGAAACTGAAACTGTAAATAAAGATATTTAACACAACATGTCAGTGCAAAATGCAGAAAACTATTTCACTCAGAACTACTGGATACTGTTCACTTCTCTTTCCAGAACACAGCTGAACTTTTCTTATAGAAACTTTAGCTGATATATGAGAGAAGACAGTAATGCTGACTATAATTCAACTTGTTTCTCTCTTATCTGACTAGTGTTCACACTTATGACATACTGTACACAAACTTTGTCCGTTTTTTCTTTTAAAGAAATTCACTTCTTTCTCTCTCTCTCTTGCAATATGGACTGTTATTATCATCGTCGACTAGAGTAACCGAGGCTATATCTCTTTTCTTTCATTTATTTTTGTATAAACAGATATTTTCTTATGTATCGAGAAAGAGTGGGACTAATCTGTGTAAAAAACTCTGTTTGATTCACAAATATAAATAAAGAATTCAAGAGCAGAGTTTAAAGTAAAAACAGGTACAAACACGTACACACAAACCCAGCTGTATCCTAGTTTCCAAGGTAGTCGAGATATATCTTACTCTGGAAGATGCGTAAGGATATATCATATTTTGTTTGAAGAAAATGATGTATCATCACCTAGTTTATTTCGAATCACTCGAGAGTCATCAAAGGTCCATGACCTGTAATATCGATGACTCCAACCAAAATAAAAAGAGATAGGGAAACAAAAAGAAAATAAGTAAAATACATAAAACTAAAAATAATAACAGAAGTAAACAAAAGAAAAGAACAAGAGACTAGAATATGCAACGAGGATATAAAAGTAACAACAGAAGATAGACACAAATAAAATAACTTTAGAGAAACAACCAATACAAGTTAATTATGACTAAAAACACGGCTGATATTTTACTGTAAGAGATACTGAACTAGTGCCTTTTCGAAAGACGTTAATGAAGAAAAACAAACAACTGACTCAGGAAGTTTATTCCAGTCAGTAATAGTTGAATAGTAAAAAGAAGAAAAAACTGTTTGAGAAGAAAAACCATTGACAGAGGTTGGAATGCGAACGTATTTAGAATGATGACAGCGTAAGGAAGAGTAATGAGGACGATGAATAGAGTAAAAGATAGAAAGAGGACTAAGACGATGATAAATTTTGAAAAACTGCACTAGTCGAAAATATTTACGGCGAAGAG